AACTGGGTATGAAGTAAGCATTGAATATTTTTTTAAAAGGCAATGCAACTATTACAATAACAGGAGCTGCCTGGGAACAGTTTCCCAATGAGGGCACTAGGTGGAAGCACAGTATAGTCTATTAGACACTCAGAAAAAACTCTATAAGACTAAACTACAAATGAACGTTTATGTTTCCCTTAGGGCAGGGTGCTCAACCCTTTGAAGAGTGAGTGACACTTAAATGATTTGGTAATCAGTCGGGGGCCGCAATGCAATTAAATGCTTCAGAAATTCAAATGTTTGTTTTATTTTGAATAACATATTAAACATTTTCCTCCTGCAGCCGCTGAATGCTGGCAGGAGGGAGAGAAGGAAAAGCCAGCTTTCAGCGGTTGCAGGAGGAACATGGAGAGGATCAGTTCCTGTATATGCTGCCCCTCCTGTCCAAAGTGAAAAAAATTATGTGATGGGTAGGCTGCATAGGCTCCCTGGAATATGGGGCATGGTTGCCATTACAAACCCTGATACTGCACCAGTAGTTGGGGGGGTTATCTACAGTTGTATCACTCCACCTGGGACAGGAGCCAGCACTACAGAGGTAACCATGGCTTATGTTGTTCCTGCTCTCTCCGCTGACGCCTGCTTCCTCTGCTGGCGGCTCAATGCACTGTGATGCTCTGGAGTGGCGGGTTGGCAAGCCCAGATCATGATCAATGGGTTGCTGATGCTGAGCATGCACTTCACTGGTATAAAGTCACGGGACACCGGTTGAGCACCACTGCCTTAGGGCAACAACTCTCTCACAAGGAAGTATTCCAGGTGACTTGTTGGAGGGTTTCCTACACCTGTTTCATGGGCAAATGACATGAAGTCTGTGGTCTGGACACTTGAGTGAATGATTGTAGATGCAGGACTATCCCCCTGTAAGCTCCTCACCCTGGAGACAGTAAAAGCAGCGACCTCTGCAGTTACTGGGTCTTCTGCTGAAGCTGTGTGCTATTGCACCACAAACTGGTTGCCCGCACACTAAACAGTCTGTCTCATTAGGTGCAGCCTCTTTAGACTGACAAAAGTGGGAATCAGGAAAGCCTATATTCCCTGGGCATGTCCTGAAGCCTGATGGCTTGTATGAACCCAGAAGCTTAGGGGAAACACTAAAAGAGCTTACATCCACTACTGAACAAGGTAAATAAAGGAGGACACCAAGCAGAATTGACTAGGTGTGGGGAGTTACAGCTTTCAGGGGACTGGCCTTCAGGTTTCTATATTTCAAGCATCCATTTCTCCTATAGGCAGAGTATAATTCTAGGTTGCATAACTACTTGCCATCCGCTTGTTGTATACAAATGGATGGCACACTTAAGAGGATGGGAGGCAGTTTTAAAATGGCCTTTTTTCCTTTGCTCATGTGTGCCCTCTAGCACGTGTGCGAGCACTACACTGTGGTGCACTGTCCATTGAACAGTGCAGATCCCACAAAGAGGGTACAGAGCAAATGAAATTAATGTATGCACCCTCGGGGAACTTAAAATGATCATCCAGCCTAACTTGCAGGTCATACAGTGATATTCAATGCATACAGTGCAGTGCTGGATTGTCATATGCATTGAACATCCAAATAATTCTAAGGAATATTAATTTGTAAATAGTGCCGCGCCCTTAAGATAAATGGATAACTTATTAATATATTTAACTATATGCAGTGTTGTTACTTGTGATAAATCAATTGCGATAAATTCTTAATCCATATAGCAATAATTAAAATGTATGTTACACTAGAAATAGGCTGACAGGAAGGTGAGCGCATAAAAGTGGCAATACTCAAGCAAGGATTTGACTATAGTTTTGTATATACAGCAATCAATATTTTAGACATTTATATAATACTCTTATTCACATCTTATGGACATTTATTTTTTGATTTTATATATTTTTTTCTTTTTTTTTTATTCTATTATTATTTTCACATTTTCTATCTTTTAATTTTTTCACATATACATATATTTAAATTTCTTTTCATGCAGTATTGCCTAATGATTTTCTCTCATACATAATATTTTGTATGTGAATAATTCACTGCAAACGTAGTCAGTGTATAATATTATTGATTAATTATTGCTATATAGATTAAGAATTTATCTCAATTGATTTATCACAAGTAACAACACTGCATATAGTTAAATATATTAAGTTATGCATTTATCTTAAGGGCGCGGCACTATTTACAACGTATTATTCCATAATATCATTATATTGCACATACCTATGAGGAATGTGATTAGGTGCCTGCGAACGTTATAAAAGCAATAACAGCAAATTACCTTTGTGGCTCACAAGTAACCCCATAACATATCCAAATAATTCTGCTTTTTATACATTTCCTTCCAGTAGGCTGTGCTAAGGCATGTGAGTCTTGTTAACATAACATACCTGCAAATAGGACTGGCTTACTTTGAACTGTTCATATGTTAAGCAAAGCAGCAACCCAATAAAATCTGTATGTCAGACTAATGTAGGAAAACGTTTGCAGATGTCAGATATTTATAATTACAACCTCCAGCAGCATATGGATTCTTGTATATTTATCAGTGTGTGAATTTCTGCATACGTGCGCAAAGACACTCGCATATGCAAGCACATAACCCCCTATTTTTACAAAGTAGTGTTTTTTTTACAGTTGCCTTTAAAATTACTCCATCATGAAGTATGGGGAAAACCATTGCAAGTCTCCTGAAAATGCTAGAGGCCTCACTTTGACTTCAGCATATTTTAGTCGCAGAACAACCCCCATGAAAATGATCGTCAGAACTGCTTGCCTGTTCCTGGTAAAGATCCCAGACATAATTGAAGTCAAAGCATCAGAATGACAGCCAGAAAACCAGCATTTTCAAAAGGAGAATTCAGCTATGGCAGCCCCCGATAATCTCAGATGAAAGAGTCCTTTTATATATGGCTGTACACACGTGATACATCTGTAATCCTACATGATATGTACATTTAAATGGGTCTAAAAGCATCTAAGAAAATTATTTTGACTAGGGCCACCACAGCTACAGTAAATGTGTATACATTGGGATGCTGAAGCTTACATTGCATAGCAAGCCACACTTGTTAATACATTCAGTTTATGTGAGCTCATGACCATGTGAATTACAGGCACATAGTAGATACAATCTGGTTGTGTATGTTTAATGAATTTACTGTACATACATGTATATCCCTTGGTACATCATGCCCTGCATCACAAAGAATATTAAGGCTGCTTTCACACTGCTCTGTTGCAAAGACACAGTAAAAATGCATATGTGTTTTTGCTGCATTTTTGCCTTGTTACTGGTGCAATTTGGACATGTGACTCCAAAAACACAACAGTAGGTACATTTTTTTATGCCTTTTTCTGCTGTGTTTTTAGATGCATTTTCCAGTCATTTCAATGGGGAGGTGCGTTTTGTTTTTTACTGCACCAAACATGTAACATACAGTTAAAAAACGTTTTAAAAACGTTGATGATTGGTGTGAAGAGCTCCATCGGATTTAATGGTCATGCTTTGTTTTTCTGCTTGTGGCAAGGCAAAAACTGAAAAAAAAAATCTGATCAGTGTGGCTGGGCTAGGTTCAAACCTATGCATTTTGAGTTTTGATCTGTTTCTGCAGTGTGTTTTGCTGTGAGTTTTGCATTTTTTGCCACGTTTTTTATGCATTTTGTGGGTTTTTTATTTGTTGCTGGGCAGATTAAAATGCAAAACGATCAAAAAAACATCAAAACGTACTATATACTTTTCTTCAGCGTCTCCATTGAAGTCTATAGAACCAAAAACGCAACTTTTTGCATTAAAAAAAGTCCCTGACCCTTTCCAAAAAATGCAATGGGTGAAAACGTGGAGATGTGAATCTGTCCCATAGGAAATCATGTTAAATGGACTGCTGTCCATTTAAAACACATAGGTGTGAACCTAGACTTAAAAGCACCTAGACGTTTTCAAAAGTGTTTAGTTGCAGCCTTCATGTTTCCTTTAGGAAAAGTTTACTTTAAACAATAAGTTCACCTTTGGGAACATGTTACATACAGTATAACAGAACAGCTTTCACCTACCTATCCCAAACAAATCACTTAACAGTCCTTCCGCTGAAGTACACCAAAAATATTACAAAAATAGTGATTTATTTAAAACAAACCCATATACAGTGTCATTACACCTAAAATCAAATTAGAGTCAATTTATAGTCCAAAGACAAAATCTTGCAGGTGATTTCACAATCATTGATATCCCCGAATAAGATTGATGGTATACTCCAGAAAATCTTCATATACCTCAAAAACAAAAGATTCTCAACATAGTGTATTATCCAAGATATTATGATTTAGTGCCACACGTGTCACATGCAGACAAAATAAAGTGCCACAGTAATCGTGAAATGTCAGAACTCCAACACCTTTATAAATAAATCCACTGCACCCAATATAAGAAGTGCATAATTACCCTAACATAAATACAATCAGCATAGGATCCATAGTATCAGCACAATCAGCATAGGATCGGAAAGTATCGTGCCCCGGACGCGGTTCGTCACATCCAGACTATTTCAACAGTTGAAAAAGTCCGGATGTGACGAAACGCGTCCGGGGCACGTGACATGGTGACGTATCGACGTTTTTCCGGAAGTATCGTGGTGGCCATTTTTGGATTCCGGGACACGCCGCTGTTCTCATCCTGGAAACTTCCATCTACCACCCGGCCCTCCTTCAGAGTGGTATGATTTGACCATATTGCTACTGTTGAGGAATCATGGCGTGGTGTCCTCATGATATGGAAGCTGTTCTCATTGAATTTTAATGCATCCGAATTCAATATTTTAAAAGCAAACTCTTGTTTGTATCTATGAATGATTTATTTATGTGAAAACTGTCATGTGCAAATACAGAGACAAATACACTCACCAAGTTTTGCTTGTCACCTGAAAATAAACAACTGCTGAAATGAAAATATTTTTTCATTTTCGGTTACAAAACCTGTTACCTTTCTGTATTCATTTTGGTTGATGCCACTGTCCTGTTCTTCTCACCAAATAGAATTGTGTTTTTAATGTCCGCTTCTGTCAAGACTTCAATTTCTGTCAGTCCTGGGACAGTAACTGCTTTCCCCTGTGATCTGATCTCCAGTTGTTTGTTGCCATTTTGTGAGAGGAGATCACATATGTTTTCATTGTAGATCTCAAGCATCGAAATCTAGTATGAGAGGAGCATACATTAACATGACCCTAGCACAGATGTACAACACTTTAGGGGTCTAGTTATTAAAATAAAGTTTGCTGTAATATGAATATTGGGACAACTAGCACAAATAATCACCGTATTGTGTCTGATATATGTATATCTATAATTCTCAGCTCCATCTAATAACCATAATGCTGTATTTTCTGGAAATACCTCAATCAGGAAAATACAGCATTATGCCCACTAGATGGCACTGCCAATCAAAGGAAATAAACTTCTAAAACACAATACAATGATTATTTGTGTCAGCTGTCCAGATACTTGTGATGTTCATACAGTGAATTTTTTTGATGGACCCCCAAAATAAATTTAACAAGCACAAGTTCTAGCTAAATGTGCATTGCAATGAATAATAGGATATATCATCATAAGTCAGATAAATATGTTAGATACCCTAAAGCAAATATGACCACTCAATTATTGACATATCATAACATGGTTTCTCTAAGTACTTTGCTTGCTACTACAGACCGTAAACCTACTTGATGTTGTTGATGCAGCTCAGGTTATGTCATTGCATGTCGTACACATGTGGCATATGCAAGTATTTTACTGATGTTTTTCATGGCAAACTATACACCTCAAATTTGTTTCACCCAAGCTAGGTATTATTATCAGGTTTGTTTTAAAGTTGAACTGAGACAGATTAACCATTTCTTTCCCAAAGCTCATCAATGCCTAGATCAGCCTTTCTCAACCCTGGGGTGCCTTGAGGTTTCTTCAGGAATGCCTTGGCAAAATTTCTAAAAACTGGCCAAAACTTGTATACAAGCCAGCGGGTGCAATAAGCCTGCCTTTGAGTTACACAGAGCAACAGGCTTTCATTGTGCACCATTTATGATCTAGCCGCCGGTGTCCTGACAACCAATGACATCATCAGTTGATAAAGATAGGTTGATAGTTTGAAAACCCCACCCCCCTCTCCCCACTCCTCTCCATCAATGCTAGGGTCACATTAGCTCATTAATGAAGAGAAACATGGGAATACTAGTCAGTATCAGCGTGCAAAAGTGTATTTGCTTTGGAAGATTAAATCACCTCTAATGTTGGGTGTCCTACATGTGTGGATGTTGCTGCATTATATAAAACTATTAGAATAGTTTCCTACATTTTAGAATGGGGTGCCTCAGGCCTGTCCATAACTTTAAAGGGTGCCTCTGGAATGTCCAGAATTTTAAAGGGTGCCTTGACTGAAAAAAAAGGTTGAGAAAAACTGACTTAGATGTCAGTCATGCAATTGCTAAGTAATAGGTGATATACAGGGACTGCTTTTGCTGAAGCCTAGGGTGCCACAGTTGGTGGGGGATTCTTATTCACCCATGTCATGTCACCATGTACCCATGCAAAAACATCATTAATGGGACGTCATCACCGCTCATGATGCCTGCAAACCTCAGTTCCGAGGTCTTTCCTGATAAGCGAATTCCCAGCATGCAGTGTTAATGGAGCACACAGTGCGGTCTATAGTGATGACAACATCAGTAAAAAAAATTACACAATAGTTTTCTTTAACTGCTTGCCAACCGCCCCATGTAGTATACAGCGGTAAAGTGGCCTCTGTGTGCTGGATCACGTACCTAGTACATGATCTGCACGCCCCACCATCTTGCCTGTGCTGTGATTTGTTACAACACAAGCCGATCAGCGGGTCCTGGCCAATGATTGAGGGCCGGGACCTGCTGATTGGCTCAGTCTTTCACAGAACACCACTGTTATTGTAAACAATACAGAGCTGTGTAAATTGACTGGAGATCTTGTTTTTGTATTCCCTGCTAAGCAGGGAAAAAACAACAACAAGATCCTTACTAAAAACAGCACACAGTACACACATTACACACGTTTAGGCACACATTTAACCCCTTGATCACACTTGTCAACCCCTTCCTACCCAGTGTCATTAATAAAGTAACAGTGCATATTATTAGCATTTAGCACTGATTATTAATGTCAGTGGCAGTTAGTCAGATCTCCCCCGAGTCAGTGTCAGATTGCCCGACGCACTACCGCAGTCCCATTATATGTTGTTGATCACTGCCATTAGTTGTATTAAAAAAAATTACAAACTATGAGATATATACTGGAATTTTAATTAATTAGACACTATCACTTTCACACAAATCAATCAATATATACTTTTTTTTTAGCAAAGACATATAGCAGAATATTTGTGAGAGTTTGTGAAGAGATTTGATTTTTTAAATACTTTTATTGGATTTTTTTTATAACAGAAAGTTAAAAATATTGTTTGTTTTGTTTCAAAATTATTGGCCTTTTTTCATTTACATTGCAAAAAATAGAAAACCCAGTGGTGATGAAATACTTTATTTGTGTGAAAGCTTTATTTGTGTGAAAAAATATTATATACATTTTGTTTGGATAAAGCATTGCATGATAATTGATAGTTAAAGTAGCGCAGTGCCGCACAGCAAAAGAAATGGCCTTTTCAGGTAGGGGGTAAAACCTTACGGAGGACAAGTGATTAAACATGCTCTAGACATAGCTTATTTATTTATTGTAAATATGAATGTTTGGTTTATTAAAGCTTATACGGCCAATCCCAAATATATGTCCACATATCCTCATTCACAATTCCATCAAGAAGTTTGCAGGAAGAAAGTGGCCAAAGGAAATGGCACTGTTTCTGGTCGAGGTTCATGCTGAGGTTGAGGCAGACAGCAGGTGAGTGTAGTCAGTGCACAGGCAGAGAGAGAAGAAGAAGCAGCAGGCAGCAGTTGTCAAGGTCCAGGTGGACATTAAAGGCAGGCGGTTTACAAAAATAACAGAACCAGCAACTATGGCAAGAGATATGGGCAGCATCAGGGAATGCAACAGTAATCTCACAAACAAGGTAGCTGGCAAGTAGTTACAATTGCAGCTGTCACAAAGGAAAGAAGTTCAAATTCCCTCCTTGGTCTGGGTGCATGCCCAGTGCCAAGAACATCCGACATCCTCAACACACTGCACATAGCACAAATGTAACGTAGCATGCTGTATAATTCCGTGTCTGTGGACCTGTATCAAGTGTGTCCATAGGTACTGCTTCTGTGTCTGCAGACTTGTTTCTGGCATGTCAGTATGATACCGATTTCTGCATCTGCAGACATGTTTGTGTTCTTGTGGACATCTGATTGTGTCAATAGGGTATCTATTACTTCTCTATGGAATTTCTGATTGTATCAGTACAACACTAAAGTTATAATTGCAGACACACTGCTGGTTGTAATTGCAATAAATTAGTTGTAATTTCACATGTGTAAATGAGAATATAATCTTACCATTAATATTGTGAATCTTGGCATGTTGGTTTAAGCAAAGCCTCCCTCCACGTTACAAGGTACCTAGTCCCCATGTTGAGGGGAAATGGTCCAATGGTCCTCATCACCACATCCTGTCCTTCAAAAATGGATGAGCGGGTTTGTTGGGGGGGGGGGGGCCTTAATTGAATCTGGAAGCCCTTTCAAATGAAAGTGCCTGCATGTATCCCCCCATCAAGAGAATGAGTTTGGTATACATAGTACCCCTTTTTACTCATTCGCAAAAAAATTTAATTAAAAACAATCACGGTGTGAAAAAGTTCCTTTTATTTAAAAGGAAAAAACAGTTTCTGCCAATGTAAATCCAACGTCAACCACTTTGTCCAGTGATATAAATCCTCATCAGTCATGCTGACCTGCTGCCTGAAAATGTTGACCTGCCAACATGATGACTGACTGCCCAATGATGTTCAGTAGTTCCTATCCCTGCTGCAAATGACAAATCTGTGGGGTCATCTGCTGGAAACAGAACTGGGATTCTGGGTGATGCCATTGACCAAACATTCATTGATTCAGAATGCCTGGCTGGTTTGTTTACAAACACCAGGATCTGTCATTTTCTGGCAGTAGTGCTGGCTACAGGCTACAGCTGGGTGTTCAGATGGGTAAACTGACTAAATATGTCCAGAAGGAACAGGATGGGGTTGAGTCGAACTAATGTTCAACCCAAAGCTCATCCCTAACTATAGTGACCTTTACTGGTCTTACCAGCTATCAGAGAGCTGTGCTCACTCCAGATATGAAAACTACTCTCTGAATTTGAGTCCAGAATTTCACCAACACTTCAGTCTCTGTTAGAACACAAAATGATGGGGTGTGACATGCTTATGGTGCCAGCTAAATGTATACGAGAAGAGCTTTGGCCCTAACAAGAACCAACCATCCCTAATCTGCTAGAGGTCATCTCTATGATTAAGCTCTTTTTTGGGTGAAATATGTCAGAGAGAGACTTGGTCTGGGTGGACCTGTCTGTGATCTAGTCTTGGAATAATAAAGCTTTGTAAGGGCTGATGTCATTGGAGTGTATCTGACTTGCTTGTTCATTTCCTACAGTGCAACTAGCCGATAAAATACCTCTGCAAACATGGGCAAAAAAACCCCACACCAGGATTCTGTGAAAAGTCAGATTGCTGGATCTATTAAACACTACCTGGCCACAGTACCTGAAGCAATGTTGTAACCCTGCAACCAAGCCTCCCCACCACAAGGCTGCATGCCTGAAACCTCGAGGTGCCACTCTTCTATACAGAGTTCACCAGCATTCTCCTGCTACTTATTGATATCCATGGATGGTGCCAACTACAACCAATCTGAGAGGGCCAAACTGATTAGAGGCCTACAGAAAATATGGATATTGTCATCATGCTACTCACCCTGGAACACACGCTGGAGAAGAAAACCACAGATGCTAACCCTAAACAGGACCATTAAAACGCTATTATTTCTACCCCAAGGGATACCATTGCTGTGACAACAGGTAGTCTTTGTTCCCTATTGTACAGCTAATGCCCTCAGGCTTTTACTTAATATTTCCTGCCTATAGCTTTTGTCTGGGAAAAATAATTACAGCATATGCTACATTTTTGCAATAAAATGGATGGTTTTCATGTGCTGCTCTATTTCCTACATACATGTAGGAG